GCTCCTTTTTTTCAGTTGTTGTGGCCCTTCAGTCCTATGTGGGTACACAGGAACCCTGTTAGTGGTCTTGCTGGCCTGTGGGCCACCAAGGCTCTCTTCTCCCCTGCCACCTCCAAGTAACTTCATATGAAGGGCACAGCTGCATCTTTTGCCAGTGTCTGCTCCATGCACTCACCAGCTCCAGCCTTGAAGTGGCCAGGGCTCGAAACAGTCCAAGTGGTTCTTTCTTTCTGTCATTGTGGCTTCTCCCACCTTCATGCACTCTGTAGGTCTTTCTTCCTCTTCGCCAGATCTCTAGCAGCCCCAGCTTGGCTGTCATTGCTTTTTAATAATTGTAAATTTGTTGATTTGTGGACCTTTTTTTCAGTTGTTGTGGCCCTTCAGTCCTATGTGGGTACACAGGAACCCTGTTAGTGGTCTTGCTGGCCTGTGGGCCACCAAGGCTCTCTTCTCCCCTGCCACCTCCAAGTAACTTCATATGAAGGGCACAGCTGCATCTTTTGCCAGTGTCTGCTCCATGCACTCACCAGCTCCAGCCTTGAAGTGGCCGGGGCTCGAAACAGTCCAAGTGGTTCTTTCTTTCTGTCATTGTGGCTTCTCCCACCTTCATGCACTCTGTAGGTCTTTCTTCCTCTTCACCAGATCTCTAGCAGCCCCAGCTTGGCTGTCATTGCTTTTTAATAATTGTAAATTTGTTGATTTGTGGGAGAGAGCGATACTCAGGACCGTCTATTCTGCCATCTTTACTGGAAGCTGTCAAGTGTGGTAGTTTTAGCTTCTACATGAAGGTCAATGATCCATTCAGATTTAACTTTGGTACATGATGTCAGATATCAATTGAGGTTTATTTATTTGTTTATTTTGTATATGGATATCCAATTGTTCTAGCACCATTTGTTGGAGAGAATATTCTTTTCCCATTGAATTATCTTGGTACGTTTGTGAAGAATAGATGAACTATATAAATATGGTTCTACATTTTGTCTTTCTATTCTGTCCCATAGATCTACATGTCTAACCTTATACTAATAACTATCCTGACTAGTGAAGCTAACCTTATTTAATGTGGGTTTCTTGTGGACAGCATTGTAGGTGCCTCTTGCTTTCTCCAGTCAGAAAAATCCATGATTTTTACCTAGAGGGTTTAGACTATTTACATTTAATATATTTATATACATAATTAAGTTTTGCTTTTTTGTCCAATCTGTCCTCTGTTTTTTTATTTATCTCTTCCTGCCTCCTTTTGAAATAATTGATTATTTCTTATGATTTCACTTTACATACAGTAATAAATCTATTATCTTATTAGTGGCATCTTTGATTTAGTTTTTAGTGGTTGCCTTAAGGTATATAATATACACATTTAATGTATCACTGCCTACCTTCAAATAATATGATACTTTACATATAATTTTAGAAACTTACAGTCTATTCCTACTCTTCCTTTGTGTTAATGTCTATTATATATTTTACTTTTACATATATCATAACTCAATAATGCATTGTTTAAATAATCAGTTATTTAAAGATAAAAAATGAAAAAAATGCCTTTTATATTTATACACATAGGTATCATTACCAGTGCTGTTCATTCTTTGTGTAGATCAGCATGTCTATCCATTATGTTTTTCTTCTGCCTAAAAAATGTCCTTAACCTTTCTGGCAATATAGATCTGCTGTTGGTGGTAAATTCTCGTAGGTATTTTATCATAGGAGATAGTTTTTATTTCACCTTTATTATTAAAAGATATCCTCACTTGGAATAGAATTCCAAGTTGACTTTTTTTTCTTCTAATGATTTAAATATGTCACTCTAATGTCTTCTGGCTTGCATAGTTGTAGAAGAGAAGTTGGCTATCATTTTTGTCTTTGTTCTGTTGTTCTTAATGTGTCTTCCCTCTTGGCTGCTTTTACAACTTTCTTTTTATCACAGCCTTTCAACAATTTTTTTTGGTATATCTTGGTATTGTTTTCTTTGCTTTTTACTCCTTGGGGTCTTTTGAGTTTTTTTTTGGATTAGGAGGTTTTATCATTTGCAATGTTTTAAGCAATTATTTATTCAAAAAAAATTTTTTTTTTCCTTTTTGTCTTTTTTCATGACCGGCAACGGATCGCAACCCTCAGTGTCGCGCCCGTACCAGACCGGGACCGGCAACGGGATCGCAACCCTCGGTGTTGCACCCGCACCTCGCTCAGCCAGTGAGCGGCCAGTCTGTATGTGGGATCCGAACCCTCGGCGGGAGCACTGCCGCACTTCCCAAGTGGCGCACTGTAGCAGTGCGCCACTGGGCCAGCCCTTATTCAAATTTTTTTAGTCCAATCATCACTCTTCTGTACTTCTGGGAGTCCAATTATATATATGTTAGACTGTTTGGTTTTTATCCCTGATCACTGATGATATGTTTATTTTTGTCTTTTTAGCCTTTCTCTCTCTCTCTCTCTCTTTGATTCATTTGAATCATTTCTATTGCTTTGTCATCAATCTGACTGGTCATCTCTTCAGGGTATGATCTGATATTAATCCTATATAATGTGTTATTATTTCAGATATTGTATTTTCCATCTCTAGAAGTTACTTTTGGGCTTTGTTTATATCTTTCATTTCTGTCCTCACTATTTCATGTCTTTCTCTACCTTCTAGAATTAATGGAACATATTTATAATGCTATTCTAATTACTTTGTTTGCTAATCCTAGCATCTGTCATTTCTTGGTCTATTTCTATTGGTTGATTTTTTTTTCTATTTGTGGGTCATATTTACCTGTTATTTTGCATGCATAGCAATTTTTTTTACTGGATGCCAGCTATCATAATTTTTGTCTTGCTAGATATAGGATTTTCTTGTATACTTTCATCTAGTGTGTTGGGTTTTTTCCTAGCACAAAATCAAATTCACACAATTTCAGCCTTACTTTTAAGCTTTGTTAGAGCAGATACTTAAATCCTGGTCTAGGGTTCATTTAGACTCACAAATAACAGTACCTTTCTAATGCCCTGTGTATTACCTGTATGCTATAAGGTCTTTTCATTGTGGCTGGTGGGAATACAAACTATTCCTAGGCCTATGTATGCTCCCCCAAATTTTGACCTACTGCTTTTCTGTGCTTCTTACTCCAGCCTTGGGTATTTTTCTCTCACCATGCACTGATCCATACTCAGGCAAATACTAAAGGGAACCCTTTTGCAGATCTCTGGAGCTTTCCTCCTGTGAAGCCCCTTCTTCCAGACATTCTGCCCCACAGATTTTTATCAACTTGGCTTCCCCAAACTGTGATTTTTGTCTCTTCATCTCAATCAAACCACCAGGCTTTGTCTGGGTATTTCCTTGCTGGACTGCTTCTTGGAACCTGCCATTTGGCAGTAAGCTGGTGCAATCATAGGGTTTACACCTGATTTCTTTCCCTTCTCTGAGGGATCACAGTACAGTATTGCTTGTTATTCAATGTCTGAAAACAATTATTTTATATATTTTGTCTGGTTGTTTCTAGTTGTTTGATATGTAAGGATAAATCTGTTCCTTGTTATTGCAACATGGCCAGATGAATAACATGCTTTTAACACTCAAAATAAAACCCTATCCCTTTACAAAGTCAATCTTCCTTTATTGGCATTTATGAAAATGAAGCTCAGCTTCCAAGTAACTAGTAGTATTAACTTGTTTATAGACTTCATATGTGGAGAACCCTAGGGCATAAGAGCAATAACTTCTTTATATTTGTGCAATCTCATATTCTTCTGTAATTACCAGGCAGAACTTTTGCCAGTGGTTCTGATTTTTAACAGGTCTAGATTTGTATTCATATGTCTAGGGTAGTTGCTGGTCTTGGTGACTGTGTATTTAACTTTCTCAGTTTTTGACTCAAAAATGACACCCAGATATGTCTCCTTAGGAACTTGCTTTTAATAGAACTGGCTGTGCTATATTTCCAAATATAGATATGAGAGAATAAGATAGATTATGATTCTAGAAGATGACAGAATTTCAAAAATAATTTTTCTCTACTTCCATTTCTCTCATATTGCCTAAATGGACATTTCTGAAAACGAATCACAGCTTAATTTACCAACTTGGTCTTTAATAGGTAGTTGCTTGCAGAAATATGAATATTTGACATAATCTTTTTACCTTCTACCCCTTTATTCTTTTTCCTTTTTAAAAAATTCTTCCCTTCTGCTATCTTTTCCTTTTTTCCCTTAAAAATGATATATGAGGACTCTCTAAACTCTTCTTAATTGCCACACTCACCATCATCTTTCATGTCTCCATATTTTGGTTCCATGCTATTGCCTTTTTTCCTTTATCTAGAATATTTTCACCATATTTTTTTCTTTTCTTTTTTTGGAGGGGGGTTGACTGGACGGTACAGGGATTGAACCCTGGACCTTGGTGTTATCAGCACCACACTCTAACCAACTGAGCTAATCAGCCAGATCTTTACCATCTTTCTTTCCTGGATAACTCTCATACATCTTTTTAAGGCTCCAGTCACACACCATCAAAGAGACCAACTTGTGCCCAGTTATGTTTCCAACAAATATATAAATATTTGTAATGAATGAATAAAAGCATAAATAAAGCAAAATCTTTCCTAAATTATCTGCTTTTGTGTCTTCATCCTGACAGCTTAAGAGAAAGATCTATATAGTGGATAATAGTGTGAGCTCTAGAGTCTGACTCTTTGACTCTGTGGGTTCAAATCCTGACTCTACCCACTAAATAGCTGTGCAAACTTGGCTTAATTACTTTTTTCCCCCTCACAGCTCGATACTTTTTATCTACTACTGTTGCATAGGATTATTGTGAGGATTTAATGAGATAATATATAAAGTGCATAAAATAGCACCTAAGCACTCCAAAAATAGCAGCTATTATTATTAACAGGAACTAATTTTTTCATATCAGTCTCACTGATGCTTCAACTCTGCAATTCAATTGTCCTCTTAAATCTCTCTTCAAATTATAAACTTTGTGTGTTATCATTAAAAAGACTGCCCCAATGTGACAGAATGTGAAAAGTATGCTTTTTATTACAGTCACATAAAACAAAGTCAGTTACACCAAGTTGTCCAAATGCATTGGTGAATTAAATCCTCCAACTCTTACAAATTTTTATACATATATCTATGTATTTATAAATACATACATATGTAAAAGATATATATTTTCTACTAAAATAAAGTGCCCAAATCTTGATATATGGGGGCATAGTAGGGAGGACAGAATCATAGTTTTACCAGTTATACACTGTACTTCTGCAATACAGGAATCTGTTTGATACGCATTTATTCAGGTATAATGAACTTTAATCACTCACTCTTTTCTGAATTCTCCTAAATGAATTTATTTATCCAAAATATTAAAATAAGTCATGTGGCCAACTTAATGAATCAGAGGCTAATTTTTCTGACTGTGCCTGGCACGGAGCCTTGGCTTCCTAACGGAGGGTAGTAAAGCTCCATTCTTAATGTTCCTGTTTTTTGGACTGTTGTCTTTCTGCTAAGGTGATAAGCAGAGCATAAAACAAATCAGACACCTCAAATTCTAAATCCTCTACTAGCATTCAGTAAAGTCAGGGCTTAGTGAAAAGATTCCTGATGTTATTACATCACCCTGGGCTTGCTGAAAAAAGGCCTAGGATCTGAACTGTGGGTCCCACTGTTTCTGTTATAATTAAAGTCTTGTTTGAGCCAAGGAAGAAAAATTAGGATGTAATGATCAATAGATCATTGAGAGAACCAACTCAAATTAAAATGGACTTTCTATTACAGTGAAAAACTTTAGTAAGAACATGTTGGAATCTAAGAACAAAATGAAGAATTAAAGAAAAACTAAAAGATTTAAGATCATTCTGAAAATCCTCACTTCAAATAGGCACTGGCATGCTATTCCCTGTTCCAGCTACCCTTCCCGTGGCTTTGCTGTATTATTTACTATCTTAGACTTTGAAGATGATCATTTGCAGTCTTTGACAAAAACGGGAATTTAAAAGTGCCTTTGAAAAGATTACAACCTATACAGGCAATGTGAAGACGCCTAAAAATAGCTTACTATGAACCCAGCCATCTCAGAATCTCTGGTGGTTACACGTGCAAACTGCATCAGAGTGTATCCTATTCAAGCAGAAAAGGAAGAAATTGTCAGCACTGAAACTGTATAAAACACTCTAAAACTTCCCAACATAGGGGAGGCTGGGAACAGTGGAAGGCCCAGACATTTCCCAGAGTCAAGACAAGGAATGGAATGTTTTATTTCTGGAAGGAGAAACAAAGAGCAAGAGAGTGTTTCCAATTACCTGACCCACTTCATGGGGCCTCTGCAAGAAAAGAGCGGCCTAGCTACTGATTTTGGTGAGCATCTTGTTAATGGCTTGCTTCACGTGTGTCGTGGAGCTGCGTCGCCTGGTCTTGCCCTGCACCATCCTCCGGCGACGCACTTCCCGGCACAACTCGTAGAAGATCTCAGTGATGTTCCCTTCTCCGGTGCAGGCAGAACACTCATAAAAAGCACAGGCTAGTTCTGTGGCTAGCTTCTCCCCTTCTTCTGTACTAACCTGTCTGGAGTGGTCCAAGTCAGCTTTGTTTCCAACCAAGACGAGAGTCACATTCTTGGGCTTTTTGATCTCATCGAGGGTGCTCTTAAGTGGCAGCACTTCCTCAAAGCTTCCCCGGTCGGTAATGTCATAGACCAGCACGAAGCCTTCCCCCCAGCGCATGTGGCCTTCCCTCTGAATGGCGTCTTCCTGCTGGCAAAGAAAAACGGCAGTTGAGAGGCCTGGAAGCAATTGCCATGTATCGATGCTGCTCATGCTAATTGTAATCCCTTAATTACTATTTATAGCCAATGTTATTAACACGTCTTGGTAGTCCATCTGTACAAGTTTACCTTGTCAATCAGCTTGGAATAGAAGCTACTTAGTCATATCAAGATATTACAGGGAACTGAAAATTTTCTAACTTCATGGACTTTAACTTTCTGCTTTTAATTTTTTCTTGCCACATCATTAAATATGCAATCACAAGAACTATAAAGAGATTATAATTTAGTTGAGCACATCACCTCTGAGACTTTTCATCACAGTTAAGGAATTAATAAATTGGTTTCTGACAAGTAGCCCTTACCCCACCCTTTAAATATCAGAATTAGAGCCAAAATTTAGCAAGACGCTCTTTTCTTTTGTTCGTTTGTTTATTTGAATTAATAAATTGGTTTCTGACAAGTAGCCCTTACCCCACCCTTTAAATATCAGAATTAGAGTCAAAATTTAGCAAGACACTCTTTTCTTTTGTTCGTTTGTTTATTTGATTTTTTTTTTTCCCTTTATTTGTCTTTTTTCATGACGGGCAACGGATCGCAACCCTCAGTGTTGTGCCCGTACTGGACCAGGACCAGGTAAGTCAGTAGCAGAGTGGTTCCCAAGCCATGCAGGGCGAGGAGAAGTTAGCAGGTGCAAGGAGATTGGCTGGCCCTAAGTATGCCCTTATCACATGCAGTGGAAACCAGAGGTCATAAATAAGTGCCAGCTGGTGCTGTTGTGTATGAAAACGAGAGCAACCGAAATAAAGAACTCAGTGAATGACTGACTGCGCTGATGAAGGTCGGGTCGAGGAACTCTCCCAGAAGATACCAGTGAGTGATAAGAAAAAGGAAAACGTAAAAGTAAAATTTAGTAAGAAGTGTGGATAATGAACTAGAAATGTTACTATCCTCTCTCAAGTGAGCCTCGAAGGAGAGAATAAAATACGTAGAGTGGTAGAAACATTTCAGGTTGTAATAACAGAAAGTCTCAGAATGAGAGACACTGAATAACTTAAGTTCAAAAGGACTAACAGTACATATGAGAGAAAAAGTCCCATATCTACACCCATTACAGCAATGACAAAGAAAATCTAAAGGGATTTACAGGAAAAAACAACAAAAAAGCATATTACCTACAAAAGGACATGACTCAGATTGACACTGGATTTCTTACCAGTGAAACTGAATTCAAGAAGTCCATGGCATAAAACAAAACAATAAACTACCTCAAAAGCAGTAGAGAATTACAATTCTAGATGATTCCAATATATCAATGTGAAAGTGGGGGGAAAAATGGAGGAAGTTTTGGGTGAACTAAAGTACTTGTCTTATTCCAGAAGAGGATAGATTAAGAAAAAGGAAAAAGAGTGGGGAAGAGGAACAGGTAAAGGGTCATGAAAATCAACTACAATGTATATTGAGAAGTTAAAAGAAAAGAAAAAGAGAAAGACTAGAAAAAGTGATCTAAGCATTCAACTCAATAAATTAGAAGAAGAGAAAGAGAATAAACCCAAAAAGATATAAGAAAAGAAATAAAAGTGACAATTTGAGTCTAGATTTGAAAGGTAAATCTTAAAGTTAAAATAATAAAAAAATAAGAAAACATGACTCAGATTGACACTGGATTTCTTACCAGTGAAACTGAATTCAAGAAGTCCATGGCATAAAACAAAACAATAAACTACCTCAAAAGCAGTAGAGAATTACAATTCTAGATGATTCCAATATATCAATGTGAAAGTGGGGGGAAAAATGGAGGAAGTTTTGGGTGAACTAAAGTACTTGTCTTATTCCAGAAGAGGATAGATTAAGAAAAAGGAAAAAGAGTGGGGAAGAGGAACAGGTAAAGGGTCATGAAAATCAACTACAATGTATATTGAGAAGTTAAAAGAAAAGAAAAAGAGAAAGACTAGAAAAAGTGATCTAAGCATTCAACTCAATAAATTAGAAGAAGAGAAAGAGAATAAACCCAAAAAGATATAAGAAAAGAAATAAAAGACAAAACATGAAAAAGACAAATCCAAAACGTGGTGCTTGAAAACATAAAAAGAAGAGTGTGGAGACATGAAAATACGGAAATACTGACCAGTAAATTAAGAGATAAGGTGCAATTAAGCAAAACTTAGCATAAAAAGAAGTTGCTCACGCTATTGAAATAAAAATAAAATAATATTATGAGCTGCATAGCCACAAGTTCAAATCTTGATAAATTATGGAAGAAAATGCACAGTTTTATACAATAAGAAATAGAGCACTTAACTAGATCAATGGTCTTTAAATAAATTTAAATGCTAATTATAAATCTCTCCCCATGATAAAAAGCAACTGCACTGAGATAGTTTTACAGGAGATTTCTTTCAAATATTAAATAAATTGTTAAAGAAAACAGAAAAAGTACAGCTACCCAATTCCTTTTACAGAGAATCACGTTGACTCCAAGAACAAGTAGTACAGGAGTAACAAAAAGAAAACAAACAAACCAACCAAAAGAAAATTATAGGCTCATTCCACATTTTGACGTAGATTCAAACATTCTAAATAAAATATTATCCGATTGAGTCCAACAGTGTAATAAGTACATCATGATCAAGTAGAGTTTATTTCAGGAATGTAAATACCAATGAAATTTAACATATTAATGAACTAAAGGGAAATAAAACACCTCTATAAATGGAGAAAAAAAAAATTTTCTGTAGCTCACTATGATTTCTAAAAATTAAGAATAGGAGGCATTTTTTAACATGATAAAGGCCATATGTCAAAACCCACAGCATACATCAAATAAATGGAGACATGTAGACACATCACCTGTAAACTCAAAACAAACTCACTATGTGCTATACGAAAATATAATCCAACATGGATCACAAACTTTAGGCAATACAATAAGATAGAAAAAATTAAGTAAGAGATATAAGGATAAGAAAGCAACTTAAAATAACAATTATCAAGGCTATGGAATTTAAAGTCAATACAGAATCACTAGCATTCTTCTGTATCAGCCAAAGCCACCTAGGAACTATAACAGAAAACAAAACTACTCCCAATAGCAATAAAATAAATAATAATATCTAGTAAATAATAAAGAATGAACAAAACTTTAGCAGAAAAATGTATAACTTCATGAAAGGACATAAAGACAGACATGAGGGTCTGGCTGGTTAGTTCGAGGGCGGTGCTACAACACCAAGATCAAGGGGTCAGATCCTTGTACCAGTCAGATGCCCTCCCACCCAAAAAACTAACTTGAATAAATAGGAAAATTGCCAAGAAAAATGGATAAGCAGCAATTTTTAAAGATGTTAATTTTCCCCCAAATTAATTTCAATGCAATTCAAATTAAAAGTCCAATCAGACTTTTTAAGGAACTCAACAAACTTATCTAAAATGACATAATGCAAAATACATTTATAGTACTACCCCAAACAGTGTGGTACTAATATCAGAATGGCCTTAAAAATAGGTCCGAGTTGACAAGGAACTTATGACTGAGGTAGTATCGCAAAACCACTGGGGCAAAGAACAGATAGTTCGAATGATGGCATTGGGATTAATGGGTTACTAAAAGGAAGAAATAAAGTTGGATTCCTAATAAAAGTAAATCCAGATAGATTAAAGATCTATATCCACCTAGATTTGAAAGGTAAATCTTAAAGTTAAAATAATAAAAAAATAAGAAAATATAAAAACTCATGTGCACACACACACACACACACACAAGTGAGATAATACTCACAATGGAATACTACTCAGCTGTAAAAAGAAATGATATCCTATCATTTGCACCAACATGGATGGAACTGGAAACCATCATGTTAAGTGAAGTCAGGCACAGAAAGACAAATACCACATGATTTCTCTCATACATGGAATCTAAAAACAAGAACAACAACAACAACAACAACAAAAGTGGTTCTTACAGAAGCAGAGGATAGAATAATGGTTACCAGAGGCCAAGAGGGTAGTGGTGGGAGGAAGGAGAAGTGGTGGACTAACGGGCACAAAACTATGCTGTCTACTCTAAGTGAATCATTGTGCAGCATATGCATGTATTGAAACAATATCCTGTACCCCACAAATATGTACAAGTAAATGTTAAAAAAAATAAAAAATAAAAAATGGGTTGACTACATCGAAATCAAGAATTTTTGTGCAATATAAAATGAGCTAAAAACTGGAGAAAATACTTAAAATGTCATAAACCAAAAACTGATTAATATCTAGCTGTAAAGGAACTTTTAGAAATGAAAAATAAAAAAGATGAGTGAACAGAAAAGAAATATGGGCAAAGTATACAAAGAGGAAATTTACAGAGGAGGAAGCCCAAATAACTAAAACATATATAAAATGATGCTCTACCAGAGGGACGCTTATAAAATGATTTTATGACCGTAAGATTGGCAAAAACTAGAAAGTGAGATAATATAGTGCTTGACGAAGTTATAGGGAGCTTCCTTGCACTAGCAATGAGAGTGTAGACCGGTGCAGGACAACTAAACAGTATTAACTGTGTGTACCCTAATATCCAGCTATCCCCTTTCAGGCATATGCCTCCGAAAAAAATATGGCTCATGTTCTTGCAGCAGTGGTTCTCAAAGTGTAATCCCTTGACCAGCAACATCAGCATCATCTGGGACCATGTTAGAAAACAAGTTCTCAGACTGCACCCCAGACCTATTGGGAGTAGGGCCCAGCAATCTGCATTCTAACAAGCCCTCCAGGTCATTATAATGCACACTACAGTTGGAGAACCACTGATTTAAACAAATGCTTTTTCCAGTGGTTTCAGCAGTGGTTCCCACTGGAGGCAACTTGTCTGTTTAACACTGGGAAGAAAAATGTGGCATACTAAGGAGTGCTATGCAGGAAACTAGAAGCATATACAGCAAAGTGAGTGGATCTTAAAAATACCATGTTCGGTTATAAAGATTAGAAGTAGACATGTACTTGTAGCACAACAAAATTTATATAAATTTAAAGTATATACATACCCAGAAAACACTATTTTTC